TCATTACACAAACAGACAAGGATCGTCTAAATATATTTGAATAATAATACTAATTCACTTTATTTATAAATGCCGCCTTTCTGGACACCCAAGGTTGCTAAACAACAAGCATCAACAGATATACCAAAACAAATTAATTAAACAATTAATTTAAAAAAAACAATGTCAGACAAAATTTTAAATACTAGAAGAGCTGAAGCACAAACACATCAAAGTATAAAATAACATGGTAAAGGATAGTCATAAGAAAAGATGGGTCTTGAGATGAGATTTAAAGGTGTGAAGACTATTACTGCTCCTTAGGTCCAGAGGAAGTGAGTTCCATAGCCGAGCAGCCAAACAGCGAAAAGATCTGGCTCCCATTGTGCTTAATCTTCAGTATTTCCCATCATCAACATATCAATCTTTCCTCAATTACTGTCACTAACACTGCTTTCATCATTAGATTTTGTGCATTCCTGAAAATAATGACTAATAATCTTTAGTCTGTGTTTTTTGTGCTTTAATGACAAAAAATCAAGAAATCTGTCCATTGTCTCATTTCCTCAAACATCATTCTGAATTGCCAAATACAAATCTAAATTCACTCACTCTTCCCAAACAAGTTGTAAAATGTGTGATTCATAAATTGGATTTAAAGAGTGTTGAGTAACAACACTTGAGTTTGACCATTAGGTCATGAGAACCCTTCCTGAAATGACCATGGTTGTACTACAAACAAAACAAAAACTGATCATCTGTAGTTAAACCCTGAGAACCTTAAATTAACCCATGTTTTGTAACATTAACCATAATTTAAACAGTATCTGTAGTAAAACACAGATACCCAGATATGGTTATTAGACTTTGACACAAAAAATGGTGTTAAGTGGAACATGAAGGGGCCATATGTTTCGACTTTCTCTACACACTATATCTCGCTATAACAAAAATAAATAGTTTTACATACAGTTGAAGTCAAAATAATTAAACCCAACGAATTATTAGCCCCCTGAATTATTTTTCCCCAATTTCTGTTTACAGTTTTTCTAGTTTGCTTTGACCTGGTTAAAGAAACTAGGTTCCTCTTCATTTTCCTCATCACTATCCCAGCAGAGCAGAGGACCGGTCTTGCAAATGTGTAAACCCTTTCTCATTGGGTTGACACATTTTCCCCACCATTTTTCCAAACAGTTAACACAGATGTCATTCAAGCAGTCCAAACTCCATTGTTTTAGTTTTGGTAACCAAACAGAATCCATCTAGTCCTAACTATTAAAAGCTACCAACATCAGTGTGAAATCACTGAAGCACCGATTTGACACTCCTTCACACAAATCTTCAATTAGCCATCATTCTTCAAACTTTATATAAACGATGGAAGGTCTGTGTTGTTCTGTGCCAGCATTGATGGAGGAGGTCAGTATGGCTATGTCCTATACTTCCAATAGTTTTGACTGTATATTAGTTTACATGTGTTTTCTCTAATATTTACAGTATTTTATTACTTTTGTCTGTTTTTTTTATATACAGTATTTCAGTTTTCAGCCACAGTTTGAAAAATGTCATGAATTTAATATATATTCAATCAAAGCACATCTTATTCTTGATCCAATTCTTTGCAAAAAGGCGAATTTGACAGCCCAAATAGAGACAACAAATGCCATTGGCTATAAGCTACAACGGCAAGCAATGGTGGTGCATTTTGAGTTCTGTATTTTGTATTTTGTTGTCCATTGTGTAATGATTAATTGAAAGAGCTCATATACTTGTTTGCAAGTTGTGTAGTTTGAAGGTGAAATTAGCTTTTGTTGCATATGTTAAATGTTTTGACACGATATGTGCCTTTTGCAAGCTAAATGTGTCATTTTGCCCATGAGTGCCGCTGTTTAGGCCTGTGTGTTAACTGTTTTGAAAATGTGGAGTTTCAGTTGACAACTGCATCCAAGCAATCGAGAAAAACTGTAATGACAAAAAAATCAAGAAATCTGTCCATTGTCTCATTTCCTCAAACATCATTCTGAATTGCCAAATACAAATCTAAATTTACTCACTCTTCCCAAACAAGTTGTAAAATGTGTGATTCATAAATTGGATTTAAAGAGTGTTGAGTAACAACACTTGAGTTTGACCATTAGGTCATGAGAACCCTTCCTGAAATGACCATGGTTGTACTACAAACAAAACAAAAACTGATCATCTGTAGTTAAACCCTGAGAACCTTAAATTAACCCATGTTTTGTAACATTAACCATAATTTAAACAGTATCTGTAGTAAAACACAGATACCCAGATATGGTTATTAGACTTTGACACAAAAAATGGTGTTAAGTGGAACATGAAGGGGCCATATGTTTCGACTTTCTCTACACACTATATCTCGCTATAACAAAAATAAATAATTTTACAAACAGTTGAAGTAAGAATGATTAAACCCAATGAATTATTTGCCCCCTGAATTATTTTTCCCCAATTTCTGTTTAACGGAGAGAAGATTTATTAAACACATTTCTTAACATATTAGTTTTAATAACTCATTTCTAATAACTGATTTATTTTATCTTTGATAAAGCTAGACAGCACATAATATTTCACTAGATATTTTCAAGACACTTCTACACAGCTTAAAGTGACATTTAAAGGCTTGACTAGGTTAATTAGGTTAACTAGGCAGGTTAGGGGAATTAGGCAAGTTAATATATAACGATGGTTTGTTCTGTAGACAGTCGAAAAAATATAGCTAATAATTTTGACCTTAAAATGGTGTTTAAAAACTTTAAAACTGTTTTTATTCTAGCCAAAATAAAACAAATAAGACTTTCTCCAGAAGAAAAAACATTATCAGACATACTGTGAAAATTTCCTTGCTCTGTTAAACATTTTTTTTTGGGAAATATTTAAAAAAGAAAAAAAAATGTAAGGAGGGCTAATGATTCTGATTTTAACTGAATTTTCAACAAATTTACTATACTAAGCATAGTTTAACCATGGTATCTGGGGTAAAACTAATAAGAGCCATTCCGCAAAATGAATGCCTTTTCAGTCCCCAGGACTTAATATAAATATGCAAGGAAAGTAACTCAAACATACATGTTATTATTACGAAAAGTGTCCTTGTTCCACTGTCCAAATTACAAATGTAATATTTTAAAACATTTAAAAGATTGATAAAAATTACCTACTGTTTTTTTATTGTCCCCAGTCTCTAACATTGCTTTTCACTGAAAAATTCATTCATTAATTCATTTTCTTGTCAGCTTAGTCCCTTTATTAATCCGGGGTCACCACAGCGGAATGAACCGCCAACTTATACAGCACATGTTTTTACGCAGCGGATGCCCTTCCAGCTGCAACCCATCTCAGGGAAACATACATACACACTCATACACTACGGACAAATTAGCTTACCCAATTCAACTGTACCGCATGTCTTTGGGCTGTGGGGGAAACCGGAGCACCAGGAGGAAACACACGGAGAACATGCAACACATGCAGAAACGCCAACTGACCCACCTGAGGCTCGAACCAGCTACTTTCTTGCTGTGAGGCGATAGCACTGCCTACTGCGCCACAGCATCGTCTTCACTGTAAAATATAATAATTAGAATATTTGCTTCAAATACATTTATTTAAAAAATTCTATACTTAGATAAAAGGAAATTATATATCCATTAAATAATATCCATTAAATAGTTGTTAAACAGTAAGTTGCATCATTTGGATCTTTGAAAGGCCATTGAAAGAGCAAAGATAATATATCTTGTTTTATTTTTATTTATTTTTTTACATATTTGCGGATATTGCAATGAAAACTGGAAATGTCATTTTAAAAATACTATCTTGTTACCTAAATTACTTCATAGAGGTAATTTGTTCAGTGCAAAATTTCTGATATTTGTTAAGTTGAGGGAGTTTGATAAGTTTCTTTGAGCTATTAGCATGTACAGCGTGTGGCTCAATTTCATTTACATGCAAATATTATGCTAGAAATTCAGTCCTGTTACTTTCAGTCCTGTTACTTATAAGAGTTACAGGAATGAGTAACAATAATGAAAAGCATCTTCTGATACTTAATAGAATGAACAGTTTTTATTATATTATTCATCTGATTTCCACACGTTATGGATGGAAATGTTGAAGTTGTAAGATATTTAAAGGAATAGTTTTCTCAGAAATGACAGTTCCACTACATGACACACACACACACACACACACACACACACACTCTCTCTCTCTCTTTTCACTTACTGATTTGGTTTTCTTGTGAAAACTTTTTTTCCCTACAATTTACTCAGTTAAGTTCTGTACATCATATACTTAAATGTTAAGTAAATTATGTTATAAAAAACATGAATTTCAGGCCACAGTTTTCTTGAAAAAAGGGAAAGTGCCTTTGCATTCCTATAAAAATACATTTTTTTATGTAAATCGTGATTTTTTAAATACAAAAATCAAATGTTTGAAAGTGTAACAAACCATATTTTAAAAAGAAAATCACTTTCTTAAGAGGAAAACAAAGTAATTACCTGATAGACTTTTATTCATGCTTTTTAAAAGACTCGTTAGTTTGGGTAATATGACTGAAAAATGCATTCATCTGCCACATAATACCTTGTAAAAACTCAAATTAAGTCATTTTATGTGGACCAATACATATTTTGAAAAGTTAAGTATGTGTGTTATTAGATTCCGCCTTGAAAAGTAATTAAAAGAAGTTTAATTGTAAAGAGTTACAATAAGCAAAATGCATCCATTCGGTGGAATGGTCAATAATTACTCCCATGCTAATCACCATACTCAACTTTTACAAGCGATGGTCAAAATTAGATATATAATCCAACCATTTTGACCCAAAGTGTATTAAAAGACTCATAATAAAGGTACCTCTTAACTCTGTCGTTGTGTTGAAAATACTACGACCAGACTACGACACAATACTGCCCCCGGTCGTTATTCACTCAATATTACCCTTTTTCCCATGTCTTCCCATGTCATGCGCATGCGCAGTACAACGTGCGTCCATTAGTAGCATCGTTCGCTGCTGGTTTTGAAGCAGGATGAACGCGCCACCAGCATTCGAGTCTTTTTTGCTGTTTGAGGGAGAAAAGAAGTAAGTGCACTATAAAGCTGTCTTTGCTATTCAATTATACTAACATATTATACTAGCCTATAATAAGAGTAAATATTCAGTTGGAAGACAGGAGGGAGATTCAAAAGGCTTTAGCTTGTTGGCTAACGACAGGTTACGTTAGTCAGTCCATCTGAAAACAAAATACAACCTACTTCTGTTTACAGAGTGCTTTATACAATACAGCTTAAATCATATCGACGATTGATTCATTCACTATTTAAGTTTATTGTTCATTATTTTTGTATAAACGAATACAATTTCAGATGCTAAGCTGTTTGAATAAGACATGTAATACCAACATTTAGCTCAATTAAGTTTAAGTTGGTTAAGTGACCTTGTGAATCTAAATAAAAGTATTCGTTTTTAGACGTACTTTAGGTCATGATACCATGACATTTTTTGAATACCATGTAAATACCATAGTACATGTACAGTAATTGGTCTCAGCATCAAATTAAATAACAGAGGTAATACGTAACGTTAACATATAAAATTTATGCAAATAAGGTGTGCTTTAATGTTTTAAATAACTTTTAACTATAAAAATAAGATTGTCAAAAATATTAGTAAAATAACCTTCCATATAAATATGAATATATTTTTTAAAAAGTAAACCTTTATTGTAATCTACATTGATTAAAATATGCAGTAGTAAGTGCTTAAACTAAATTGTTTTGCCTTGTAAATGCCTCTTTCTGACAGATATGCTTGACAAATTTAAGTAAAATTGGTTTTGTATTCGCACATTTGGACTTTCTCCTTAATATAATTTCAGAAAAGTTTTATTTGCAAATTCTGAATAGAGAAATCATTAGCAGCCAATGACTATCAAAGTACAACATTGTTCAGTCAGGTAAATAGTACTTATGTTTTTGAGAAGTCATATTTGCAGGCTATTTTAGACTGAATATTCAAAGCAGTGTGATAAACAATATATGCACAGTGTTACAAGGTTTCACTGTTCAAAAATTACCAAATGTCTGAATATAAAACCAACTTTACCTCAATGCTTGACAATACTTTTTGGCATAAAAAAATATTTTTGCACTGAATGACATTTAAGTGAGCATCTTCTCTTAATAAGGGTTAAAATTATAGTAGGATAAAAAGATGATAAATATGATGATAAAGCTTATTATATTTTGTATATTTACCTAGAAAAACATTTTTCATCTCTGATCTACTTAACAAAGTGACATATTACTGCCAACATTGTACCATGATACCACAGGGTCTGCGGGGTCTTAAGAACTATTAAAAGTTGATTAATCAATGTAGAGAAATGTAAGGCCCTTAAAAAGTATTTTAAAATCCTAAATGCTATTTTGCAAGGTGTTAAATTTTATATAATTTTGATTGTGCAATGTAGGTATGGTTGTATGCTAAAGTTTGCCTGAATTAAATCTAAATGTCAGGATGCTGTGTAGTTTATGAAATCAATGAAATCCTGCTAGATTTGACATCATGCAGTTTTGTTTACTGCAGTTATCAAGGAAAAACCATTATTTCTGCAGTTCTATAGGCACCAACCTGCTGAATTAGCTATATTTAATAGATTTTAATTCAATATAATTATGTATATCAATATGTAAGTTTTTTACATTAATATTTAATAAATATACTGTAAGTTAAAATCTCTTTATTGTTTCCGATTGAAATCTTAAGTGATAATAAGGTCTTAAGGTCTTGTATGGAGAGAGTCTTAAAGGTATTGAAATTCACTCTCTGGTTCCTGTATATACTCTGTACCAAAACATTACTATTTTTAAAAGTAAGGGATTGCCTAAAATTTCTGTTCAACTTCTTTTTACAGGATCACAATAACCAAAGACACCAAGGTGCCGAATGCATGTCTGTTTACTCTAAATAAAGAGGATCACACACTGGGAAACATCATCCGATCGTAAGAGACCAAACTTTTGATACACTAAAACATTTTCAGATATTTATGTGGGTTTTGTAATCATCCTATATTTACATTAGAGCAATTCCATGCAAATGTCAACCTTGTCATGAAAAAGATTAGGTTTTAACTCTGTGGTTAGTTGTTTTGGAAAATATAAACAGATGTTTCAGTATAATGTTAACACATACTTTCTCTGTGAATGTGTTTTGAGATCTTACTGCAAATGTCACATTTGTAACATTGGAATTGCTCATTAGGCAGTTGCTGAAGGACCCCCAGGTGCTGTTTGCTGGATATAAGGTTCCTCATCCTCTGGAGCATAAGGTTGTGATCCGCGTTCAGACGACACCAGACTACAGTCCTCAGGAAGCCTTCACTAATGCCATCACGGATCTGATCAGTGAGCTGTCCCTGCTGGAGGAGCGATTTAGGGTATGTTCATGTGTTTGCATTGAGTAAAAAATGATTCCAGAACAAGCGCTCCTGAAAAAAATGCACTCTATAGCAGCACTGCAAAAGACAATTGAGGTAAAGTTGGTTTTGTATTCACACATTCAGACGTTCTACTTAATATTATAATTTCAGAAAAGTATTATTTGCAAATTCTAAATAGGGAAATCATATCAGCGTCCAATGGCTTTCAAAATGCAACATTGTTCATGATCAGTTAAATGGTGCTAATGTTGTTTTAAAGGGCACCTATGGTAACAAATCTACTTTTCAAGCTGTTTGGAAAGACGTGTGTAAGTAAAGTGTATACACCGTCATATTGGGGTGATATAAACACACCCAGTGTTTTTTTTTTTTTTTTTTCTTCAATTTAACAACATAAAAACGACAGACCAATTGGAGCAGTTTTTAGAGCGACCGCAACTTGATGTAAAAGTGTGGTCCCCCCGCCCACCAATATTGATTGACAGGCATGCGTAACCTAATCCTCAGTTTGTTGTTTCACGTCTGCCATTTTCAGTGTTTGAGTCAAGGCGATATCACCAAAGGAACACCCTTGCTTTATTGTTAGATGTAAGGCTCATTGGGCTCAACACAAGATCAATATTCTCCACATTATCGCTCTTATCAGAATTATTGGTTGTACCTTTAGGTTTGCAAACGTGTACTTTTCATTGCGTCTACCTTAAACTTCAGCCATTTCTTAACCGTTCTCAGGTTCACAGAAACTCCCTGTGATCTTAACTAGGTGCAGCTGGAAAAGTGCAAGCGCGTTGCCTCAGGTGCGCATCTCTCCATTAGAAAAAAATAACAAACTTGCCTGCAGGTCGCACACCAGAAGCTCCGCTTTGCATGGCGCGACATTGGCGCAGCGCCATGCATTTTGGAATTCTGAGCGTGGGTTTCTGTTGGGGTGCTGTTTTGCCCTGATGGAAACCTGTGTTTAGAGTTCTAAAATGCGTGGCGCGACGATTCGGGACATTTCATGTTTCTGCCGCGCCACTGAGAGTGTCTGGTGTGCTGTGTCGCGGCTTCGAGCGGCACATCTGGTGCCTCAGTCAAAATTAATTCAGTGTGCGTGGTTATTTGTGTGTTGAACTGAACCTAAACTGGCACACTCAGAAAACCCTAATACTAGTATTAAATCATAAAAAAGGGGTAAACTATGTGCCCTTTAAAGTCATACTTGCACGCTATTTCAGACCTAATATTTAAATTAGCATGGCAAACAATATATGGGCCGTTAAATGGAACAAATGTGAAGCGTTCAGATGCGAAACCCTCTAAATCCATCAGATTTCTTGTAAATGAGCATTTTCTATCAGGCTCCTATAATTAGGTTCAGAAATGTCATTCGATATGTAATGATAAGGTTATTAGCTAGTAAATAAAATACCTTTTTTTATTGTCACTTTAGACAATTATTTGGTTTTTAACAAGGTAAATTTCCTTTTGTGTCAAATCCAGCTATATCCACTTTTGCCTTTTTTGCAAAAACCTCTCAATCCACCTATTGGGACAAGACAGTGTAATTACTTGAAAAATCACTAAAGATGCCTTTAGAAATTATTTTACCAAACATAAAACACATTACACAAACCACCTGAAATGAAAAATACATAAATCTGTCAAGTAAGTGGCAGTTCATTCTGCTGTGGTAAACCAGGGAAAAAGCAGAAGAAAAATGAATGAATGAAATCTGTCAAGTAAGTGCATTAATCAACAACATTAAAACTGACATTAATTAAATCTGAACAATCTGTTGGCATTTCTAATATTTGGGATTTAATTTAATGCAAGTAGACCAATGTAAAGATTGTAAACTAAGCTTGGTAGATTCAAATAATGTCATGTGAAACATCGTGAAACATCAATATCTTTGCATTGTTCATTAATATAAAAAGCTTATCAACGGTATAGGTATTATAAAGTAATATAAATAATGTATAGTTGTATACATTATGTTTATCTTTTAAGAAATAGCTTACATTAGCAAATAAAACACAAGGTAGGCTACTAGACAAAAAAGGGGATGCCTCTTATACGATTTTAGAAGCTGTCCTTCAATCATTCTCATCATACTTATGGTCTTGGTCTCTTGTTTATCCTCATAGCATCCACGTGGCATAAAAGAACGTCATCTTAACTCTGTCTTTCGTGAAACGCAGTTGCCGTTTAATGTATAGTAAATCGGACTCGTTCAAAGTAGTGTCAACACATTGAGTGCATATTACACTTCCGACTGTACATTGTGTTTTCTTTTTCTTATAATGCATGGAGTTTTGAGGTAAAGGACGTTTTCATTTGCCATTCACTGAATTTTCAAAATTTAAAGAGGAAAAAACTCAAACCCATAAAGAATTGCTAATGATTTAATTAAATTGGAAATGAATGAATTAAAGCCAACGTTTTAAACATTTAAGGTGTTTTTCATGGTTTTTGCTATCAGCATAAATGAGTGCATCCCTCACAGATCTCTTTTCTAAATTGATATTATCCACAGCATGCTTTACATTACATTAATATTTGTGAAAAAAGATTATCTTAGTCAGTATCAAAGCCAAAACTAGGCTAACAAAAAATGTAAGGTCTCAGTCTAAATATTAGTACACCCAAATTATTATGTTGGACTAATATTAAATACAATTTTCTGCACATAATCATGGGTAAAGTTATTTGCAAATTCTGCTTATAAATGTATATGTACTGTACTATGTTACATATCTGTTTCATAAAAACACTGGAGAAAAAATAATTGAATTAACATGAAAAAAAAGTATTTTCAATCTAAAAAAAAATGTAGTGTTTACTTCTGCTGTGCTGTATTGGTGTTTACTAAGGCATGCTCCTATTTTATTATTTAGGTTGCCATCAAAGACAAGCAGGAGGGGATAGAATGAAGAAGCATCACTATAATGGGCGACAACAATTTATTCACCATGGACTGAATGCCACTCACCAACTGGCTGTCTATAATGAGCTACAATGCATCCAGTTATTTATTTTCTTGAAAGATTTTGACAGCTGACAGGCTCTCAGAATTAAAAAAGTAAGATCTTTAACAACACTTAGGTTAAGATTGTTGAGTTTCACTTCCAGTGTTGTTATTTTTTTCTAAAAAAAGAAAAAAGAAAAAAACAAGCAAGTGTAAAGCAATGATCAGATTTTGAACAATATTTAAAATCTTTTATTGCACATCGAAATATGTAAAAGGATGTAATTTCCTTTTTCAGTGTACTTCTCATTTAGCAATGCTTTAGATTTTTTTTTTATAAAAATAAAATGTCTTTTTCAATAGAAAATTCTGGCTGTCTTTTCTATTTTCTTAAAGGGGTGGTCCACTGCTATGTCATGTTTTAAACTTTCTTTGATGTGTAATGTAGCTGTGTGAACATAAACAACCTATCTGAATGTAATATGCTCAAAGTTCAATGCAAAGGGACACATTGGCTTTTACAGAGTTAGCTTAGCAAAGACTACAGCAAACGAACTTTGGAGACTATAAAAAAAATACTTTCGGGTTAATGATGTCATAAATCTTCAGGTTATGCACATACACTTTCTGCAGCAAAGGGGTGTGGCCTGATGTGCTGTAATGTTAGAACAAAGATGCTTCCTGGAACCGTTCTGCAAATTGCAGCACATTATGTTCGCTGACCAATCAGAGTCTCTTAAGGGCGGAGCTTTCAGAAGAACTAGGAAATATTCTGGTCATTTTCATGTTAGCTGAGTAGCTGTATATAATCAAAGTAAGATACAGTTGAAGCCAGAATTATTAGCCCCTCTTTGAATTTTTGTTGCTTTTTTAATATTTGACATATTATATTTAACAGAGCAAGGAAATTTTCACAGCATGTCTGATAATGTTTTTTCTTCTGGAGAAAGTCTTATTTGTTTTATTTAGGCTAAAATAAAAGCAGTTATTAATTTTTTTAACACCATTTTAAGGACAAAATTATTAGCCCCTTTAAGCTAACTTTTTTTTAGATTGTCTACAGAACAAACCATCATTATACAATAACTTACCTAATTATCATAACCTGTTTAGTTTTCCTAATTAACCTAGTTAAGTCTTTAAAAGTTACTTTAAGCTGTATCGAAGTGCCTTGAAAAATATCTAGTAAAATATTATTTACTGTCATCATAGCAAAGATGAAATGAATCAGTTATTAGAGATGAGTTATTAAAACTATTATGTTTAGAAATGTGTTGAAGAAATCTTCTCTCTGTTGAACAGAAATTGGGGGAAAAAAAATAAACGGGTTCTAATAATTCAGGGGGGCTTATAAATCTGACTTCAACTGTATATGAACAAATAACCTGATTTTCTACAAATGAAGCATGAGCACACATTGCTTTGCACTCCATAAACACAACCAAGCCTTAAAAATACACTCTGAACCACCCCTTTAACATCAATCTTTACTTTGTATATTTATTTTGTTGTCACTTTTACTTTCCAAATACATCATTCATTCAAGTACATATTGAGTTAAGAAAATTCAGAGTTTACTTTCTGCAAATCAGACAGTTTTTTTTTTATAAGCACAACCAAGCCTTTAAAATACACTTTGGATCACCCCTTTAAGTACTTTGCAGCTAAATTCTTCAAGATTTGAGAATGTTTATTAAAAGTAAACCTTAAACCAGGGGTGTCAAACTCAATTCCTGGGGGGCCGAAGCCCTGCACAGTTTAGTTCCAACCCTGCTCCAACACACTTGCCTGTAGGTTTCAAACAAGCCTGAAGGACTCAATTAGTTTGATCAGGTGTGTTTATTTAGGGTTGGAACTAAACTGTGCAGAGCTGCGGCCCTTTTGGAACTGAGTTTGACACCTGTGCCTTAAACTCTATTAGATTTTTAATTTATTTGTGTATTGTTTATTTTTACTCGTGTTTATTGTTATAAACCCCTATGTATTATAGTAGAGCGTTATTTATCAAATTGGTAAATTTTATTTGTTTTTGCAATGAAAGTGTAAATGAAGCTGATGTGGTTATAACCTCAAACTTCAAAACAAGTAAAAAGGATGTGCTTTATAGTATAAGTATATAAAGCCGGGACGTAATGCACCGAACATGTAATTGTGTTAAACTCATGGGCTGAACTTGCGCAATCTCTTAACTTTGCAACCAAAGTAATGAGCTCTTTTTTTAAAAAAACTGTAACTTATGTGTATTATTTGTTTTATTTATGTATTTAATTGTTATGAACCTATATAGTATAGCAGAGTGTTTTCAAATTATGTACATTTTCATCTGTTTTTGCCATTGAATTGTAATTGAAGCTAATATGGTGAGTACCTCAAACTTCACAAGTAAAAAAAAAAAAGAAGATGCGCTTTATAGCAGTGTTTCTCAACCACATTGCTGGAAGACCACCAGCACTGCATGTTTTGGATGTCTCCTTTGTCACACCCATTACAGGTCTTTGAGTCTCTGCTAATGAGCTGATGATCTAAATGAGGTGTGTTTAGTTAAAGAGACAAGAAAATGTGCAGAGTTGGTGGTCCTCCAGGAACATGGTTGAGAAACACTGCTTTATAGTATAAATGTATATAGGTAATACATGGAATCCACGTGCTTGTGGTGCTTTTTGCCTACTTTTTAAAATGGGACATGATGCTTTTGTCGCTACTGTCGACTAAATATGCGATTTCGGATGTAGCCGTGTCTTTGAGTGTGGGAACTATTTTGAGCTTTAGGTTGTTTCTGTGGGAGCGCATTAAAGCGACGCACAATTGTAAGGCCATCGCTCTGATGATGAATCCAAGTTGTGGTTGTAAAGGAATAAGAACGTGTTTAAGATGTGAGACGGATGAAACTAAACATTTACTCCAGAAGAATGATCTGGTGAGTAAATAACACTGCTTTTAAGGAGATTTGTGCACAAATAAGCTAAAGTTGCACTGTCAGCAATGAGGAGAGGTGAGGGGTGCTTCAGTGAAATTCAAATTGACCACAATTTATCCACACTCGGGATAACGTGAATATGCTAGATCAGGGCTGCCCAAACTCGGTCTGAGAGGGCCTTGTTCTGCATAGTCTAGCTCCAACTTCCTTCAACACACACCTGCGTGAAAGTTTCTAGTATACCTGGAAAGGGCTTGATCAGCTGGTTCAAGTGTGTCTAATTGAGGTTGGGACTAAACTTTGGAGCACACTGGCCCTCCAGGACCGAGTTTGGGCATGACGTGTATATTTTTTTATTTGGTGATGTGTATACTGTACAACTGAACCCTATGTCAAAAGTCATTAAAAATATTTTCATATTTTAAAAAGCTTTATTTATTTCAATAATCAGTTAAATGTGGTTTTTAAGAAATTCATTCATTTTCCTTTGGCTTAGTCCCTTTACATCAGGGGTCGCCACAGCGGATTGAACCGCCAACTTTTCCAGCATATGTTTAACTGAGCAGATGCCCTTCCAGCTGCAACCCAGAGAAACATCCATACACACTCATACACTACAGCCAATTTATTTTTTTCAATTCACTTATACCACATGTCTTTTGGACTGTGGGGGAAACCGGAGAACATGCAAACTCCACCCAGAAATGCCAACTGACCCACCTGGGATTTAAACCGGTGACCTTGCTGTGGGTGACAGTGCTAACCACTGAGCCACCTTGTTGTCTCCTTAAGAAATTATTTATTGCTAAAAATGTGTTATTATCAATGTTAACAAATCCACGAGTTAATATTTTTGTGGAAACAGTGACTTTAAGCATTCTTTGATAAACAGAAAACCCAAACGAACAGTTTTTATTTGGACTGAAATTTTTCAGTAAAAATTCAAAAAAATTCAGTAGTTCATTCAAAAATTCCTCATTTTTATTCACCCTCATCTGGTTTCAAATCTTAATGAGTTTTTCAAAGGTATTTTGAAGAATGTGTAAACCAGTTGGCATGGGACGAGAACCGTTTTTAAGGTATACCGCAGTTTGAAAAAGTCAAGGTTTTAAAACCATCAAAATTTTCTTTGATATTTACGATACGATTTTTTAAAAAACTTTTTTTTAGGACAACAGTATCTCCAGCAAAAAAGACATCCTAAGATTTTAAATTGTAAAAATAAAATCTATTTTCTAAATAAATCAAGGCAGCTGAAGTCAATAAATAATTTAGCCTGACATGTTTACTGTTTCAAAATATTTTAAATGATTCTTAAAATAAAGTATACTGTGTTTAAAAGGGAAAATGTTTTTTATCCAGACATTTAAAAAAAAATGTTTTAGAGCAGTAATCACAAAAATTTTTATCCAAGGTTATCATACCATCAGAATCTTGTACCTGCCCATGCCTAAAACCAATAACCATTGCCATCTATATAGTAGGGAGAAAATACTACAGAAGTAAATGGTTACAGGTTTCCAACATTCTTTAAAATATCTTCTTTTTCATCCAACCGAGCAAAGAAACTCATACAGATTTTTAAAAGTGTAGGATGGCAGAAGTTTAATGTTTGGGTGAACTATCCCTTTAAATCTCACTTTGATCAGTTTATTGCCTCTAGGCATGGGCTGGTATAAGATTCTGACGTTATCATAACCTTGGATAAAAATATCACGGGATTGTGATTACTGCTCTAAAATATATTCTCTTTAAATGTCTGGGTAAAAAAACAACTTTTTGCCCCTTTGAACACAGTATATTTCATTTTGAGAAAGATTCATAATAATTTGGAGCAGTAAACATGTGAAGCTAAATAATTCAAATGAATCATTAAATTCTGCTGTCTTCATTTGTTTCAAAAATACAAATTTCTTTACAATTTAAAATGGCGTCTTTGGATATTTTTTTTCAGCTGGAGATACTGTTGTCCTAAAAAATTAAAATAAAAACATGTAATAAAAATAATTTTACATATACCGTAGGAACAGTATAGCAGAAAACTTTAGTGGTTTTAAACCTGTAACTTTTCCAAACCCCGGTATACCTTAAAAAAAAAACAGTGATCGTCCCATACCTATCCCTCCTTGTGGAATAAGAATTATTTCAAACTAAATACTGTCATCAAATAATATTAAAGTGTAATATGTTGTGTTGCAGATTCATTATGATTTCATCTATGATCCAGTGTTGAAGTCAGCGGTCCGGGAAGAGGAGGGCAGCACTCCTCAG